TTCTTTATTCTTTTCAGTCTCAGCTGAGATTGAGAACAGAATCTGTTCTCCATGATAGGATAGGATCAGGGTTCTTTCAATGCTTTGTCTCCTCTCTGGAATAGGTGTAGTCCCCTCACAGTTTCTGAATAAATGAGCTCAATATTCAGTCTCTCAATGGCCTCACTTTTTAAAAGCCCAGCATTAAGGGCACTTCTATATATATTCGTTTTCATATTCTTTTTCATTAAAGGTTATTACAAGATATTGAATATAGATCCCTGCGCATATACATGCTGACTAGAACATTATGCTGTACACCAGAAATTGACACATTGTAACTGACTGTACTTCAATAATAATTTTTTAAAAAGAGCACATCTAAAATGATCTTCTAAAAGTTCTAATAAGTATATACAAAAGCAATACCTAGGAGAGCCCTAAGACCAACAGAGAAAACAAAACAAGAACCCTGGAAGAATTTGAAGCCTCTTGTACCAATAGGTACAACAAATATTAAACACAGCCTAAGTCCTAGTGAGATTAACATAAATACTCATGGTGAATGCCTATTTACCTAAATTTTAATTATCCAATTACCTTATTCCATTTGGTTTGCTATTAAAAAATACCATAAACTGAGTGGCTTATAGACAGTATAAATTTATTTCTCACAGTTCTGAGGGCTGGGAAGTCCAAGAGCAAGGCACCCAGCAAATCTGATGCCTGGTGGGGCCTGCTTCCTGTTTATAGATGGCCATCTTTTCTCTGTAAGCTCAAAGGGCAAAGGTGGCAAGGGAGTTCTCTGAGGTCTCTTATAAGGTCATTAATCCCATTCACGAGGACTCCACCTTCATGACCCAATCACCTCTCAAACTCCTCACCTCCAAATAGCATCACATTGAGAATTAGGTTTCAACATACAAATTTGGGGGTCCATATTCAGTCTACAGCATTTCACCCCTTGCCCAGCAAATTCATATTCTTCTTGCATGCAAAATATATTCACTACATCCAAAAAGCCCCAAGAACCTTAACTCGTACTGAATCAACTCAAAAGTCTATAGTCCAAAATCTCATCTAAATATCATCTAACTCAGATATGAATGAGACTCAAGGTACAATTCATTCTGAGACAAACTCCTTTCCAGTTGCGAATCTGTGAAATTAAACACTTTATGTGCTTAAAAAAATACAATGATGGGACATGAATAGGATAAACCTTCCTAATCCAAATGGAAGAAATAGGAAAGAAAGGAGTGACAGGTCCTGAGCAAGTCCAAAACCCAACACGGAAAGTTCTACTGGAACTTAAGGCACAAGAATAATTCTCTTGGGCTCAATGCTCTGCCCTCCATACAACTAGGGTGGAGGCCTTGCGTACCAAACAACTAACAATGCCAGTTGCTGGTAAGGATGCAGAGTAATGGAACTCTCACTTATTGCTCATGGGAATGCAAAACTATGAAGCCACTGTGGAAGAAGATGAGCAGTTTCTTACAAACCTAATGCAGTTTACCATAAAATCCAGCAGTCACACTCTTAGGCGTTCTGATTACCTTAATTCATTTGGACTGCTATAATAAAATACCATAGACTGAGCAGCATGTAAACAATAAACACTTATTTCCTGTAGTTCTGGAGGCTGAAAGATTAGGGTGCCAGCATGATCAGTCTGTGTTGCAGACTGCCAGCTTCTCACCGCACCCTCACGTGGAAGAGGCTAGCCAAGAGGTCTGTGGGATTCCTTACGTAGGAGCACTAATCCTACTCATGAGTCTCCACTCTCATGACCTAATCCAGTCCCAGAGGCCTCACCTCCTAACACAATCACATTGGACTTCAGAATTCCAGCATGTGAATTTGAAGGGAATACAAACATTGAGACCATAGTACCCAAGTGAGTTGGAAACTTACGTTCGCACAAAGACTTGCATGTGAACGCTTATAGCAGCTTTATTTATAATTGCCAAAAATTGGAATCAGTGGATGTGTCCTTCTATAACTGAGTGGATAAGCAAGCTGTGGTACATCTATATAAGACAATATTATTTGGTGATAAAAAGAAATGAATTATCAAACTATTAAAAGACATGGATGGATCTTAAGTACATATTGCTAAATAAAAGTAGCTAGTCTGAAAATGCTACTTACTACATGATTCCAATTATATGACATTCTGGAAAAGGCAAAGGTATAGTGATGGTAAAAGGAGCAGTGTTTGCTAGGGGCTTGGGAGGAAGAGAAATGAATATGTGAAGAACAAGTTTTTTTTTTAAGATGATTAATCTATTCTGTATTATATAATTGTGGATATATGATACATGCTTTTGTCAAAACTCATAAAAATTTACAGAACAAAGAGTGAATCTTAATGTATGCAAATTTTAAAGAATCATTTAGGAGGTCAGGAGATTTCAGAATGAAATGCATACTGTTTTGACAAGCGAATCTAACTGTTCTTCATATATGAATTCGTTTCACTGAAGGGGATGGAGTAAAAATTACTGACTTAAGTAATTTTGGAAATGAATAGATTTGGTGACTAAAGGTAAAAAAAAAACTATACAAAGCACTGACTCCAGCTGACAAAGTTGTTTCTCATGGAGATCCAAATTAACAATTATGGTGCCACTATACATGAATACTGGAACTGAATCATTAAATAAATGAATATCAAATGACTGAAACCAGCTTTCTCACTGGTGCAGAAGGAGTATATAGATAAGCAAGGTGAGTAGTAGAATAATCTATGTGTCAATAGATCAGAGTTAGGAACATCATCATGAGTTCATGTTTACCTTAATATAGATATGAACGGTTACACACACACACGAACACACACACACATGGATTTGTATATACACATACAGTTCCTCTGTCAACTGAGAAGGCCTAGAAACAACAACATCCCAGTAGCAACAAGCACACATAGTACCAGATCTTGGTTACTAGTACTATTCTCCAAGGAAAGGAAACAGAGTGTATTTTAATATGGGATAGTTGCATCTACCACCATATGCTTGACATAAATTCTGTGAGCCAAATACTTTCCAAGTAATCAATGCATAGTATTATATTACCATTCACAATTAAAAGTGAAAGTTCCACTCAATGAGTAAACTATAGTATGGGTTTTAATGTAACAGAGTATATACAAAAAGTTAATTCATACTGTTTCAGACTGCATATTGTAAGTAATCTCTAAGACATTACCAGTTGTTAAATTTTTGTGTAGAATCCAAGAATATTCATAATTATCTGAAAAGATATAAAAATACTAATGTCTCCCATGCTTTCCATCTATAAAATTGTATGAGGTTGTGTTTCCTTCATATATTTCAAAGCAACACAATATATTGCAAGAAATTATAATGCAGAAACAAACACAAGAATTCAGTTCGATTTCATTAAGCCAGATGTTAAAGTGTTTGCAAAAATGTGAAACAACTGTCACTTTTCTCACTGCATTTATTTTTGTTTTAGAAAATATAATTACTTTTTATAAAAATATGCTACTTATGTCAACATGTGATGGAACACATATTGGAACCTAGCCACTCCCCTATTTTCAAAATATCCATTTAATTTAAAATATAGTAATCATTGATAATTTAGTCCACATAAGCAGAATTTTATGGCACCCTCAATATTTTAAGAGAGTAAAGGAATCTAGAGATCAAAAAAATGTGAGAACTATTGGGCTACCACATATGTAGGCCAAGACTTGAAAGGAGGTCCATGAACCCTAAGTAGGTTCTGCCTTCAATAAGCCAGACTGCTTCACTCCTGTATTTTGTGTTTATTTTGCCATAGTTCTTCGTTTATAAAATTAATCAAAAGCTTTAGCTGTGTAAATGAGTTTCATGGGAAGTGTGTTGTTTATGACAAAGCTAGAGCTTTGAAGGTCTGGTGTATGGTGAGAGTTTGGCAGTAATGTTTGGCATGAGAGAACCTTGAGGGAAGACAAAACTTGGGAGACCTGCTTGGGGCTGCTTCATCCAGTTATCCATACATCCAATTAGAGTTTCGTTTTCTGATTTTCAGGTTTTGTTCTTAAATAGGGAAATCTGTGTACAGATAGAGCTAATGTCACCATTTTACTTTCCATGATTACTTTTATTAACCCTTTCATAAAAAAAAATTAACTATTTTCCAGTAGAGTCACCTATCTACTCTACCTTGACAGTGAATCTGAGCACTAATGCAGGGTATCCAACAGTTTTTCTTCACCAGAAGAGGAGGCAGCACAATATCAGATAAAAATTCAGCAATAGTTTTCACTAGGGGAGCTAGTACTCAAGGCTGTTTTTTCCCTACTGTATCCTGAACTATAAGGAATATACATATGGTTTTGAAGACAAAAAAAAAAAAGAGGAATTTATATCTTTATTTCCATAAAATAAAATAGGAAAAATCTCAAGGGAAAGGATATTTCAAATGTTTAGCATAGTCAAAATAAAGTAATATGACACAGGTATTACAAATGACATAAATTTAGGAATCTTCAAATAGTTTTCATCAAAATGTTTGTCCCCAAAATATTTTATTCTACTCAATTTTGATAATATTATAGAAGTCAGCTACTGATGAATGAGCATAAGATGCAAAGAGAAAGGCTTTGACCTAGTGGACTATTATTAATTAGTTTGATTTGGTTAAACACTGTCAGCATCAACTAATTAATGACAACAACAAATTGAGAGGAAGAAATGAGCAGATGAGAAGCTACCATATGCTCATGCCATGCTCTTAATTGATAATAATTAAGTAATTATGGAATAGAAGAAAATGTTAATTCATATGTCTATGGCATTTGAAATGCCTGTTTATAAAACCGTGTCATTTATAATGGATACTGTTCCACTTGGCCCCTGAATTATCTAGAAGTACTGAGGGCAAAGGAAAGAACTCACTCTAATGTTTTCTAACTCATCATCAGACACTGACCACATTTATTAAGCACTTTTAAAAATATGCACTCAGTGGACAAATATGGAATTAATAAACAAAAACTTTACCTCTATTTTCTTATTCATGGTCCCAAGACAACAGGGATGCTCATTGCTGTGGGGCATTGATCGAGTTGGCTATGGATGGTGATGGATGAGATATTAGTAGCACCTCTTAGACACGGCTTGACTGCTTCTGGTCCTCAGACTTTAGTTCATTTTTCAAACAAGGAAGCCAGGGGATTAGGTCTGGATTCAAAACGTTATTCACATTCTACGAACAACAGATTTCTGACCCCTAAATTTTGCTTTTTTAGCTTTCTGTTTTACCCAGTCTACTTTTTTCTATTTTTCATTATAAGCACATGCCTTTCTTTGCTTGTCCAACTCCCCTAAGGATTTTACTTCATGTTAGAGGACTGTTCCCTTTTGATTTATTCATCCTAGAGGTCAATGATTAGAAATAGAAGCCAATTTCCTATTGTCTCAACTAGTTTGCTTCTTTTAGTGAAAAAAAGAAAAAAGAAGCCAGTTAGCAACACTGTGAATTGAAGTCATCTTTAAATGTTATTTTCATTGTCATTCCATTTTATTAACATGGTACCCGCCTTTCATAAACAAATCTGACATTGATCTTCCTTAACCATTTTATGGTGAGGTAATGAATTAGATAAAATTTAGAGGAAAGTTCTACTCAGATATGGTATTGAAGCCTCAGACTACCTGAAGTAAGTGTATTTCCAGTACTGGATAAAATTCGATTAAACACTTAATATCAAAGAATACCAATGTTTATTTTCATTAAAACAGGCAAATAAACTACATGTCCAATACCACAAGATGTGCCTTAAAGGCATAAAAAATGATTAGCCTCCTTCACTTGAATTTCATCAAGGAATTTGAAATGATATGACAAGTAATATATTATCCAATAAACAAGTTCAAGAAAATGTTTCCTGCATTAGTTTTCTAGGGCTGCTAGAAAAAAGTACTAGAGACTGGATGGCATAAACAATGGAAAATGTTTCTCATAGTTCTGGACAATATAAATTCTAGGTCAAGGTGTTAGTAGGGTTGGTTTCTTCTGAGGCTCCTCTTAGCTTGTAGACAGCATCTTCTCCCTGTGTTCTCACATGGTCTTTGCTCTGTGGTTTTCTATGCCCACATTTCTCCTTCTTATAGGGAAATCAGTCATATTAGATTAGGGTTCACCCTAATTACCTCCTGTTAACTTAATTACCTCTTTAAAGACCCTATTTCCAAATAGAGTCACATTCTGAGCAAGGATTTCTTTATATGATATAGAAGACCTAACAATAATAAAAAGATTTACTTCCAGAAAATTCAAACATTTCATGCAATTCAATAACAAAACAAACAAACAAACAAAAACAATCAAAAAATGGGCAGAAGACCTAAATAGACATTTCTCCAAAGAAGACATACAGATGGCTAATGAGCACATGAAAAGATGCTCATTATCACTAGTTATTAGAGAAATGCAATTTAAAACTACAGTGAGGTACCACCTCACACCAGTCAGAATGGCCATCATAAAAAGTCTACAAATGAATGCTGGAGAGGGTATGGAGAAAAAGGAACCCTTCTATATTGTTGGTGGGAATGTAAATTGGTGCAGCTACTGTGTAGAACAGTGTGGAGATTCCTTAAAACACTAAAAATAGAGTTACCATATGATTGGCAATCCCACTCCTGGGCATATATCTGTAGAAAACTCTAATTCAAAAGGATACATACATCCCAGTGTTCACAGCAGCACTATTTATAATAGCCAAGACATGGAAGCAACCTAAGTGTCCAATGACAGATGAATGAATAAAGAAGATACCACATTGTGTGTGTATACACACACACACACACATACACACACATACACACACAACGGAATATTACTTAGCCATAAAAAGAATGGAATAGTGCCATTGGCAGCAACATGGATGAATCTAGAGATTACTATACTAAGTGAAGTAAGTCATACAGAGAGAGAAGTATATGATATCACTTACATGTGGAATCTAAAAGAAACAAACAACTTCCACAGTTGAGTTAACACATAGGATTTGAAGATTATATATTACTAAGCAGAACAGCTGTACTAAGGATCATTACTATACTACCAGCAAGTAGGTGTATCTAAGCCATAGTAAGCATTTCTCTATTTAAAGTACAAACTTTTCATGTCAGATGAAAATAAATAGACATTTGTTACCCTACTTCTGATGATGTGGCTTAACAAACATGGAAACTAGTCTCCACTGGGTCAAGTCAAGTGCAGGGTTTTTTTTTGGGGGGGTGGTGGTTAGCGTCAGGGGAGAAGGAACAGTTTGAGAGCTAATTCTCTCTGAAAAAATGGTTAATGTGGATATTTGTGCCTTGTACTACAATTAGGCTCACTCTAGTAAAAATCAGTACAAATTATTTGAGTTATTTACAGAAGAAGCCACAAAAGTCTTCAATGAGAGGTTCACCACAAGCATCTAAAGATGGCGAGACATTCATAGTTTTAAATCATAGCATGATTTTTTACTGTGGTTACTACTTAGGACACAGTTTTCTAGCTGAATTCCTCAGAATTCTTCCCATTTTACTTAATATTAGGTACTGGGTGCTTAACTTTCTTGACCTAGCTAAATCTGGCTTGACTTCTCTTGCTTTTTCTGCATTGGCCCATGCTTGACTTTAAGAACACAGGAGGAAACACTTTTGCAACTTCAATGCCACAAGCCAAATCAGGGTATGTGAAATAAGTTTATTCATGGGCTCACAGTAGCACGTAGGATAGAAAAGACTCAGGTACTAGGATCCTTGAAGTCAAAACTACTGGAGAATGTAACAGCTGTTTTTGTGGCAATGCAAGTGTTGTAACTCCATGGCACACTAAGCGTCCCTCGGCAACACTAGGACTTGATGTAAGTCGTAAGAGAGAGAATCAGAACAACTCCCATAACCCCAGGAAACACATACACTAAGGCACACACGTTTTCCCAACACAAAGCATAGCATCACAGTAAATGTCGGTTTATAGAGGTGGGGAAAGCAGAGCATATTATAAAAGAGAAACTATAAGAGGAGTATTATTTTATTTTGATCTGAACACACACACACACACAAAACATTTGGTAGTCATCTCATAGCGTTTAAGGGAAAAAGAAACACCAGCCTGGTGAGGTCACTTTCAATCTTCCTTTTGTGAGCTTCTCTGAGATGTTCATAGTGACTTTGTTTTTATTCTCTTTTTTCTGTTTCAAACATCTTTCTACTAAGTACCCTCTCCCTGTAGAAAAACTTAAAAGTAAAACTATGAAACCTTAAAACTATGAAACAAAATTAAAATTCATAATTTAAAAGCTATGGGAGATACTGAGGTTATTTGAGGATAGGCATAATCACCAGAGTATTTGATTTATTTGATTTTGGAGCTTCAGTAATTAGGCAAGACATACTAGAACATGATAAGTAATACTGTTCCAGAAAAAACTGTATTATCATAAAATTCTTAGGAAATAAATGTACCCTTAAAAATGGCTGTGTAAAGGCCTACAAAAAATTTAATTTTGAATAATTATCAAATGTTCCTGATTTTAACAAAAGCAGGGATTCTGAATATTAATATTTGCAGTGATAAGTGTAAGTCTTGAGAAGACTCTTAGAAAGTATAAGGATTTTAAAGTATTTTAAATGTTTCTAATATATTCAAATATTAAGACCAATGTGTTTTGTCTTGTAAAAAATAATTGGTCAAAATAAGGCTACATGATAGTCTTATATTTTGTATAACTTGATAATAATAATAATCAGAATTGTACTCATAAATATTAATTTTAACATAATTCAGAATGATAAACTACCCAGTAGTCTAATGATAAGAAAAGAAGCTTAAAACATATTGATTTCTATGCTCCTTAGAAGATCCAGCTCATGATATCAACTTTGTAATGAGCTTGAGTCTCTAGCCACAGCTATACAGATACACAGAAAGAGAGACTAAGTGAAAAGAACAGATACCAAAAGTAAAAATGTGTTTTCTGTTGGCAATCTCATACACTAACACTGCATTCTTTTATCTATAAACTCTCAAAAGCCTAACTAGTTATTAACTGATAAATGGTGAAAAAATTTCCCATAGGATCATAAAACTTAAAGAGAAATAAAAGTAGAAGTGAATAAAAGAAAGATGTACCTTTTCCTTTAGAGGAAAAAAAAAGATTATCTTCTTGTTTCAGAGGAAATGAAATCTATTTTTATATGACACAGACTGAATTGATAATGATATGAACATCAGTAAGCGCTGTATAGGACATTTCTTTGTTATATTTTTGTTATTTTGCTTCAGCAGATAGGAATGGAGAGTAAGTGTTGGCATATTTACCAAATGCAGGCAAAAGCAGGCAATAATCTGGCAGCAAGACTAGTTGATCGATAGTATTACTCAACTTCGTTTCATTAAAGCATGATTAGGGGATGAGAAGGTATAAATTGGGAGTTTGAGATTTGCAGACACTAACTAGTATATGTAAGATAGATAAACAATAAGTTTCTTCTGTATAGCACAGGGAACTATATTCAGTATCTTGTAGTAACCTGTAATATAAAAGAATATGAAGAGGAATATATATATATATGTTCATGTATGACTGAAACATTATGCTGCACACCAGAAATTGACACAACATTGTAAACTGACTATGCTTCAATTTAAAAAAGCAAGATTAAAGAGTTAAATTAAAGTAAAATTAAATTAAATTAAAGAGTTAAAGATTAAAGAGAAGCACAATAACAACCATGTATCAGTATATTTTTTGTTACAAACAGCAAAAGGCCTGGGTGAAATTTACTCAAAGAAAAGCATATTTGTTAGTTTAAAACTGAAAAGTACAATGTATATTAATCTTAATTATGAAATGATACAGGTCTCAAACTATGTAAACATGAACTGAATGTTCCATCTCTAATCTTTCTAAACTGCATCCCTAAAGTGGGCTCTATTCTCAAGCCTGTATTATTTACAGAATAATTGTCACATTTCGTCCGGTACATCTTCTCTTGTCTACATCATCCAGTAAGAGTCTTCTTTCCCTGATAACTCAAGGAAAAGCTCTAGAACTGAATTACAGTGGCTTGATTGGTTGACTTGGGCCATGTCCTTCATCTATCAAGCTATCTTGGTCAGCAGAAGACAGACTGAGTAACTCAGCAGAGGTGATAATTTCCACAGTTAGAACTGGGGATAGAGTAAGTTTCATTGGAAGCACCTCG